ATATGTAGCAAGCTGTAATGTTTATCATGTCAAAATTTCCCCACATTCACCAAAGCATCGAAAGCAAAAATATAAAAGCAGTAAAGTAAAACTTTTAATTGACGATAAATCGGTAAATGTTAAGGAAGCACCGAAATAACTGAAAATCATTTAGCAGCTGTCCACTCAACAAGATCAACCGTCCCATTAGCATCATTAAAAGGGGACATTTACTGAGTACAGGGTCAAATACATCCACATGTAGTGCAATTACTGATGCAATATTCACAATATTCTTTCCTCGCTCTGATACTCCTTTAATCACAACGCTATTCCACCTTTTTGTTGAAACAAATAAGAGTTTTGTGTCTGACTGTGGGCTATTTCAATCTTTAATCAATGGGCCGTAAAAGCAGCACGATCAATAGTAGTGATTCAGCTTCTGAGATGGAGGGTCAGCGCTTTTTCTGTATTTCTAAAAACACAAATTTATGATTATTTGTAGCTTTTTTTATTTAATTTAATCTCAATGTCATCCAGTCTAGGCTGTTTTATCTAGTTCTCACTTGGCTTACCACCTATGTAGACACACTGTGCTTTTAATTGGGTAAAATGAAAGGCAGAGATATGCCATCTGTGTTGTCCTTAAATGTATAAAATAAAGCTGATCACACTGGCAGCTTATATAATGACCATGTTAAGGACACAGCACATTTCCATTAGGAATTGGAGACACACCATGCTGCACAGAAAAAGCTGTTTCTGATGGGCAGATGAGGCAGGAAGCAGAGGTGAGGGGGAAGTTTAACAGCAGTTTGTATCTTTTCAGATTTGGAAACTTTTCCTTTGAGGAAATTATATTCATTAACCTACATTATGCTAAAATCCTTCCATAAAATGAGGAGTGTTAGCAGCGAATTGGTTTGTCGGTCTCTCTCAGACTCTGGGCATAATGCCTGATGGATTTCTTTCCATCTCCTCCATCTGGCTATCTACCCTAATTACATGCCTCCCTTGAAGTTGACACGCAGGTTAAATCGCTCTCCCAATACAGAATAAAACTTAGACACTTAATTAACTTATTAATTCCTCTGTAATCAAAAGAAAGTGAAGTTGGATCACATCACATGATGAAAAGAGACTCTATGTTTGACTGAAAGGAAAAAAAACATTCAATGTGAAATCTGAGAATTCATTTTTGAGACTTTTATGTGTGATTTAGTTCACTTTGTTCTTTACAGGATGAAAACTTTAAACTCTTGGTCTTTTGAAACATCTGAAAATCCTCACATATAACATGATACTGATGCTCTCTTAAAAGAAAACATATACTCAGCTCTTAAAGCATTTTTATGTTTAAGAAGCTGAAAACAGCTAACATTTTAAGGTAAAAAAGAAAAGACTAAAGCAGTTAATTAATCTGCAACATCGGTACGTTTGGAATAAATTGTATTATTTGTATCATGTGATCTAATAGCACCAAGTTTTTCTTAACAGGAATGTTCCATTAATGTTAGGAGGTTTTTGATACTACATGTTCCTTTGAAGAGACTAAAAGAACAATAGATTATTGTTAAAATAACAGCATGTTGTTTGCAGACAGGATGTGAGCATCAATCTTCTGACTCAAAGCCGAAAAATTTATGAACCAGACCTGCAACCTTGACTCAAGACAGAGACCTCATCAGAGAGGATGGGAAGGCATTACTACATTACTTTTAAGTGCTGGAATTCAGGGCCAATGCTGTCCTGCTGAGAAAAATCTGATACAGAATTGTTTAGGAGTGTAAGAGTAATGTTTCTGTTCGTACGGAGTTGAGTGAAAGCTGCAGTCCAAAAAAGTGAGAGGCTGAGTGTTTCATCTGCTCAAAGCATTGAGGCAAACAGCAGGAAGGATGGACCAGAGTGATGAGTATCAGTGGAAAATGACAGAGGGGGAGGAGAATCACCTGGTGAGAAGAAGGAGGGCGATAAGCAGTAAAGACAGCGAATAAGAAAACAAAATAAAGTAATAAAGGGAATTTGAGAAACAGGGAAAAGTGAAAAGAGCAGGACTTGTTTCCTCATCTTCAGCCCTCCAGCCAAGAGAAAGCAAACAGATAAAGAGGAACGAGACAATAAAGAAAAGATGGATTGCAGTATTTCCAAGCACCCACGGGCTTCTGAGGAAAAAGAGAGAGAGAGAAAAAAGATGTCATCCTCAGAGAGGAAGAGGAAAACAACAAATTCCCTTCCCTGGTCTTCTGCCCACTAAAGCAAAAGTCGCAAATGATCCAGGAACTCTGCCATTAACTTTCTCTTCTGGAAGAGTCTTTATGCCTGGCTGACAAATTCACAAAGTTTCCAAAACCCTTTGAAATGTGACTGGGTTTGTAGAGAACTTGTGTAGCACCTCAGATTAAGATGTTTTTGAACTGTTAGGAGCAGTTTCCTCTGCTTTCTCAGAAAAGATCCACGGTTCTGAGATTAGTTGGATTAAAACTCAGCTCGACTTCTAATCAAAGCTCCTCTCTGCAGCTGTGTAACAAATGCGCTTTCTTCCTGGATCAGTGTCCATGTACACAGTGGAAAACTTTGTTGTTTGATCTAGTGTCCAAGTCACTGGGAGCATGCAGGTACATATTTTGAAGTGGCTCACTGAGCTCACAGGATTCATCACTGTGTTTGCTTTCAACACCAAAACTACTTAGTATTCTAGTGCCATTATACTAAACCATGTATCGCCACTGCAGTGGGACAAATACAACAGAGTCCAACATGACACTTGTGCAATGAGAAAACGCCAAAGGGAAGTGCTGTGTCTATGGAAAGGCGGGAGGCGATGCCTCGCTGCGTCTCTGACCCATCTCGCTGACTTTTTTCATTAATCAGCCCTACAGAGACCAGCTGAGGCTTTATCACTTCATGCCTATGTTTTGCCATGTTTCTGCCATGTTGTTAGTTGTGATCAGTGGGGGAAAAGTAATAAAATGATCCACAGGAAGGTAACAAATTACAGAAGAAGGTGTCTGATTAAGGCTTTGGGCCTACACAGGATTTCCAGAACAGCTTCACTGATCCTTTCATGTCTATTTCACCCAGTGCAAACAGTACTGTGATGAGTACACAGTCATTCATCGCAGCACAAACGTGACCATTTTTGATTAATTTGCACTGATCCTTACAGAGACAAGTGGAAATAAGCCCCGTGAGCAAAATCCTCCTATGGTAGAAAGACTTACTGGACTTAAGAGTGGTTCTGGTTTTCCTTTACATTTGTTATCTGTCTGTTTACTCTGGTTCTGTCTTTAGGATGCACTTTAGTGAAGCACCTAACTGAGTGTGTAAGAGTGAGGGCTTTTTTATCACATGGCATTGGCTGATATCTATAACAGACAGACTGGAACCAGTAACTTTGGGACGTGTTGTTTTTCGCATTATTTTTATTGCGGAATAAAAATGAAATATATATAAAAAATGAATTAATGAGGAGCACAGGATATTTTTGTTTTTTAAAACACGCGCATCTTCCACTAATCAACAGCAAAAAGTGTCAAGTGATCAAGCGTATGATGCAACATCAGCAGACATTGTGGATGGACTTAATTTGTTAGATCATTACATCTTTTTTAAGATCTAATGGTCAAGGGTTCATTGGAGTTTGAACCCAAATCTTGGTAGACTAATTGAGAACGGGGGGGTATATAAAAAGCTGATAATTCAGCCTTTGAAGACTGTTAGCAGGTTCTGAAATATTCCCTTGTGTGGTCACCTATGACCTCAGGTATTGGGCCTTAAATGTGAGTGACACATGCTCTTTTCTGTTCTCTTAGATGACTAGCTGTAGGTGAAGCTGTTTTGGACAGATAAAAGCAGAATAATGTGTTTAATCATTGCTTTTTGTCTTTAAAAACAAACAATGGCCTTAACCTTCTTGCACTTAAAATGCAATAATCACATGTTTGATTTGAGATTAAAAATCAAAGGTTCATCGTGTACAGCTGGGGTTAGCCTTTATAAGACAAATCTGTATTTTCTGATAGAAGGGGTATGTCTATAAGTCTTAAATGTTAGATCTTATTTGCATTTAGTTTGAATCAT